TATATTCTATAGAATGAAAATTCAGTGCTTTTTTTTTTTTAAGTGAATAAACAGATTTTTAAGCTCCATTTCAGTCGTTTAGTTAATGTTTATATTCTTCTTGGAGACTCTGAATTTATCTCTATTTATTCCAGTAGCTGTATTTCATTGAGACAGTAACTGAGCTGGTACTAATACCTTCTGTACATATTTATATTTTGGTGAGCATGGATCCAAGTGCTAGCCTCTTCCACAGATTTAGAAGACGACAATCTTTTTATTAGTTTATACTCTGGCTAGTTCCAAGCTTTTAAAAAAGCTGGTTTAGAATCTTCAGTTATTCTTTGCATAAATATAGTAGGACTTGCCAGTTTTAATTTTTTGATGTATTTTCTCAGTTTAAACTGACGTTCTTCCCAGGCTCATGTATTTATTTTTCCTAATGCCACTTTCATTTCCAGTCAGCTGTTGTTCATTTTCCATTGTGTATTTGGAGAAGAACGGTGGGTGTCTGATTTGAGCGCTATTTTTTAAAAAGCGAAGTGGTGACAATGACATTAGAGTGCTTGGTCAAGAACGTGTGCAATGGAATCACGATCAAGCATGACAGACTAATAGTTGGATTTGCACAGTTTTCTTAGAGAAAACTTATGGCCTAATTTTTTCTAACCGACCTGATTTATGTCTTTTCAGATGATGATACAGAGAATTAGAGGAAACAGATGTTAGTTACAAAGTGTCTTCTAATGTTTCTTAGTGACTGTTGATTGGTATTACATTAGACAAATTTATCTTTTAAATGTTGCAGCCAAAGGGAAAGGAAGTGGTGGAGTGAAAACTGCTAAATTATATGCATGGGTTGCGCTCCAGTCATTGCCGGAAGAAATGGTGATTAGCCCGTGCTTACTGGACTTTCTAGAGAAAGCTCTTGAAACCATTCCAATTACACCCATTGAAAGGAATTACACAGGTAAGTTGTGTATTTGTATTCCAGTACTCTATGCTTTTTCTTTTTTGTCTTCTGGTGGCATTGAGCTGCTCTTCCCTTTAAATTCCACTTTCTAATGAGTTCTTGTACTTGTTAAAAGCTGTTAGTTCACAGGATGAAGACATGGGACAATTCGATATGCAAGATCCCTTAGAAGAGTCTACAACATCATTAGTGTCGTCCTCGACATCAGCATATTCATCCTTCCCAGTAGATGTGGTGGTTTACGTACGAGTTCAGGTGAGGTTTTAACTCAACACGCAGTATAGAAAGAAACTCCGGTTACAGTCTTGGAGACAATTCAACCTTCTAAGTTTGCTTTTTAAAAATTAAAAAATGTATTTTCAAGTGTCCTTTCTGAGATACCCATGTCTAGTGTGATGATAAAATAGAATTTCTTTCAGGGGAAGTTCTGACATATTTTAATCCCACGGAGACCAACAGAAATGAGCTACTTTGAGAAGTCATAGAAGTTCCGAGCATTTTAATCATCACTTCTTCCTTGTCTCTTTTGGACTCTCTGAAAATATCTTTCATAACTAGTATTTATATCCATTGTTTATAGGTGCCATTACAAAACAAAAGTAATAAAGATTTTCTCAGTTTATATGGAAAGTGCAGGAATGTACAGTTATCTACAAAGCATATTCATACTGCTTAATATTTGATGTATCTGGGCTTTTTATATGTGTTGGAGAGAAAAGTGCTACCACAGTGTGATTCACAGCACTTGAGCTTGATCTGAATGTTGGTATTATGTTTTTACACTTTGCTTAAACAATGTTTTTTTCCTTGTATAAACTTGATTATGTTCCCAAATTGAACAACATATTCTAAAAAATGCCTTTTTTTAATTATATATATGCACACACTTAGGAAAATTAACCGTAACAATCTTTTAGCCTTTACTGCAAACTCATCTGGCCAAGAATGTGTTGAGGGGAGCTGAGGCCTTCAGCATCAGCTCAAGAGTCAAGTGTTTCTCCAGAGTCCTTGCATGACATGAGTGAAGCTATGAATTGACTTGGAGAAGGAGAGGGGGACATACATGTCTTTTGCTGCATCCAGGATTCCTGTGTTTGTCTTCTAAAAACAGGTTCCAAACAATAGCCTGGTCTTGGAGGGATTCCGTGAAATTAATCTATCTGTATGAACTTGTATACAGTTACCTTACTAATTCTAAAACTAACCTGAAAAGGTTGTAATTTGCTTAGATTTAAACAATAAACACATAGCACTCTCTAAGTCAAACTGGGGATGCTTTTAATATTTCTTACTTGTTCCTTGATTGCTGTATTCTGTTTCTGTGTTTCAGCCCTCTCAAATCAAGTTCAGTTGCTTGCCGGTATCAAGAGTTGAATGTATGCTGAAGTTGCCTTCCCTGGATCTTGTTTTCTCTTCAAACCGAGGAGAACTGGAAACATTAGGCACAACGTACCCATCAGAAAATGTGTCAGTTGTTGGTAATACTTCACAGAGTGGCTCAAAGAATTCAGTTAGTAAATCTGGAGCACCAGGTAATACGTATATGAATGTTTATACTGTATGCAGCTTGTAGCATAAATAAATACAATGTTCTGCTGTCTAAAGTTAGAGCAGCCTAAGGTTTTACACACCTTAAGGCTAGACGTTTATGTATTAGCGAGTTCAGTAGGATTTCTTCATGTTGTATCAGTTTCCTGAAAAGCTTGCACAGATACAGTATGTTGGAGTTTTCTTGCATTGGTTAAGCAAGTTCAGTTATCTCTTATAAAAGGCTAGCATCAACCCGTAAGACTATTTAAGCTACATTGCTGCTACAAGGGCATAGTTTGATGTGCATTTGGTCTGTGTATTATTGCTGTTAAGTCAGTATTATTTCATGTTTAAAAATGCTTTCGTACTAAAACTAACTTTTGCAAAAAAAAAAATTTGACTTCAGGTTCATCACCTGGACTGGGCAGCCCCCTCGGCAGAACGCGGCACAGCAGCAGTCAGTCAGACTTGACTACTTCTAGTAGCAGCTCTTCAGGCCTGAGCTTTACTGCCTGCATGTCCGACTTTTCCCTTTACGTGTTCCATCCGTATGGAGCTGGAAAACAAAAATCTGCTGTTACTGTTCTAACCCCTGGGTCAGGAGCCTTAGGTATGGAACAAGTTTTTGTTTACTTTAATGAACATTGTTCAAGTTTGTCATGGTTTTCTGAATTGAAGATCTGAAAAGGTCACAGAATATTAAAATTTTTCCTTTCTATTTCTAGGTAATGTGGATGAGGAGCCAACTTCGGTCACTGGCCGGAAGGATTCTTTGAGCATTAACCTTGAGTTTGTGAAAGTCAGCCTGTCACGAATAAGGCGTTCAGGAGGTTCCTCCTTTTTTGAGAGTCAGTCTGCGAGCAAAACTACCAGCAAGATAGATACTACGTTGATAAACATATCTGGTAAATGCTTGTTTCATTTTAATCCCATCTATTCAGCTAATTAGAGAACTGCAGTTCCAGTGATAGACTTTACTCTCAGCAGCTTTTGTAGATTTTATATGAGAGCCATCTACTTGTAGCGTGTAGCAAAATTTTTGCTCTTTTTGAGTGTAGGGATTGATACTTTATGTTTTAATGGTACTTTGCCCGCCTATTTGCAGGTGCACCTTTTTAGCCTCCTGATCCATTTAATGTAACTAAATGGGCTTGCTCAAACACATCTCTGACATCAGTCTGTGTGACTTAATGTGACCCTTGAATATTTTGAGATTGTACTGGCTGTGGCTAGGATGGAGTTAACTTTCTTCATAGCAGCCCATATGGTGCTGTGCTTTGAATTTGTGCCTGAAACAGTATTGATAACACACCAGTGCTGTTCAGGCTGTTGCTGAACAGTGCTTGCACAGCCTCAAGGCCTTCTCTTTCCCACTCTGCCCCGGAGGGGACACAGCTAGGACAGCTGACCCAAATTGATCAAAGGGATATTCCATAGCATGCGATGTTGCACTCAGTCATAAAAGCTCAGGGAAAGGAGGAGGAAGGGGGAATATTGGTGGTTATGGCATTTGTCTTCCCAAGCAGCTGTTAGGTGTGCTGAGGCCCTGCTTGCCAGCAAATAGCTAAGCATCTGCCTGCCAACAGGAAGCAGTGAATAATTTCTTTTTCTTCACTTGCATGCACAGCCTATGCTTTCCCTGTTAAACTGTTGCTACGCCAATCCACAAGACTCCTTGCATTCCTTCTGTTTTCTCCCTCTCCTGCAGGAGAGTGAAAGGAGTGAGCAGCTTGGTGGGCATTGGCTGTTAGCTGGGGCCAACCCACAACAGAGATAAAGCCTAAATTGTTTGTGTTTAGTTAGCTTTAAATTACATGTCATTTTAGTTGTATTGCAGATATTTCTGTCGGGTATCAGAAGGAAGTGATTTCAAGTCATTATTTAGTAGTAATCTTAGTATGTCAACTTTATTATATGGTCTTAGCACGCAAAAGAGGGTGGTTATTTTCCATCTGATGGCACAATGCATATTTTTCTTCAGATATAAAATCCCATAGTATACATTGGCTTGTACCTGAGAGACTAGAGTCTTTGAGTAGTATTGTTTGTTGAGCAATATCTATCCCCTTCATTTTTTTTTAACCCTGTTTCTTGACAACCCCAAAAGTCTGTATGACTGCAGTGTGGTAATACATGAATACATAAGCAGCAATGAGACACAACACGTAATGCTGACCTGTTCTTACTTACATAATTTGTTTCAATGACAAACTCAGTAGCTTGGTTAGCTTTTAAATATTTTTGTTAGCTATACCAGTAGTTCTTGTTTCCCACCCAAAAAAAAAAAAAAAAAAAAAATCCTTCTTCCTAAAATATTTCAGTTATTCCTCACTGTCACACATCATTAGAGTTAAAATAGTGGGTTTGGAATCCTCAAACTCTAAATACACCATTTGACTTTGCTGTGGCCATTGTGAATCTGTTTTACTGCTGGTGATCAAAACCAGCAATAGTAATCCAAAAATTTATGTTTCTTAGAGCAATCAGTTGAAGGGACTTACAAATCACTTAGAAAAAGTGTACAGTGAGGGTTGGGCTTTGGGCTGGGTTTCTCTTCAGGTTGTCTGGTGGAATTCTGCTGTGTTTTCTCAACGTGTTATGCTGTACTAACTTGCTTGCTAAAGTTAGAAAGCAATCGCGGTGTGCCCACAGTGTCTGTGTAGTATAGCTTCAGTATACAATACTCTACATACAGGAGTGAGCAACAAGGGGATGAACTTCAGGTGGCCACCCAGTGCCCTAGTGTGAATGCTCTTTACAGCACTGTTCCATCAGAACAGAAAGATGAACAAACTCCGATTCTTATTGCTGATTCATCTCTTAATACATTTTGTAACAGACATAAGCTAGTCTAATAATAGAAATGTATGCTAAATTTATTGCCAAAGCTTCCAGTTGGACCTAGTTTTCTAAACACTAACCACCCATTTTCATAGTCCTCTCTTCAGAAACAGGTACTTCACAGCTGTCTTTTGCTACCTGAATAGGACAAAATCTCTTACAGATACTCACCCTTTTAACCTTTTTTTTATATGAAAACTAGAAGGAGTCTAGTTTTCAGGCAATCTCTCCCAGGGCAGGGGTGGGGGGGATCAAAGTGGATTATGTAGCACAATTAAATGTGGTATTATAGAGATGATATACTGTGCTCATTAAAAATGACAGCTGAATCTTCTAGATCACAAGATGCCTTCTTAGTGTTCTCCATTTTTTTTTTAAATTATTTTTATTTTTTTTTAGTCCGACATTTGCTATGTGTTATCCTAATTCTGGTTGCACTGCTGCATGTCTAAGTTGGTGATGTAGTTCTGCAGTCTGTGTTCAGTTACTAGCTGTCGAATTTCACCACCTTGCCACCTAGTGCCTGTGAAGCTACAGTGAGAGCTGGACTCCTGAATACTCACGAACCTTGAATTAAAAGTGGGGTTTAAAGATTTTTTTTTTTTTTTTTTTCCCCTCACTGTACATGGCATCCTGACTTACTGGGCAAACAGTAGGAATGGTTTTGATTAATCTGCCATGAAAGCAGACTCAGGTGAAGAGTCTGAGGCACATACAACACAAGTAGGACCCCACATCAGTTCTATTCCTAGGTTCCATCTTGCCTTTATGAAATGTGTTTGTATCTAATATTGGATTTGGAGAAATGGCAACACCTCAGGAAAACTATTTTTTTTTCATTACAGCAGACACTATACTGCTAGCTGAAGAAGTATTTGACTATATTGAACACCTATTAATTAGATTTGGTTACTAAAACCTGTTACTACTGAGTGTTTACAGTTGTGTGTGTATGCTTTTTCTTTTTCAGCTGTCTGTGATATAGGATCTGCTTCTTTTAAATATGATATGCGCCGGCTCAGTGAGATTCTAGCCTTTCCAAGGGCTTGGTACAGGAGGAGCATTGCTAGACGGCTTTTCCTAGGTGATCAAACAATAAATCTGCCAGGTAAGATACTGCTTCTTATCATGAAAAAACTTTTTGTACAAGGGGTTACAGTAGGAATTTTATAAACATTTATTACCTGTGTGTTTTTACATGTGTGACTAGATATACTTGTATATTAATCTACTCCATATGCAGTCACTCTAATAAGTTTAATAGAAAATCCTAAAAAGAAGAAAAGGAAAATTTCTAAAGTAGGTCATTGAGTTATTTGAAGACCTTATATTAACAAAGACAGCACAAAATGTTTAGTTATGATAAATGAAATATATTTTCACACTCTCCAAATACTTCTTAGTATATGGGAGGATATTGTTAAACAAAACTGAAATTGTTTTTCCGCCTTTCATGTGCTGCTTGCTTTCTAGTAGCATCGGGTCCTGGAACACCAGATTCAATTGAAGGGGTAAGCCAGCATCTTTCTCCTGAATCATCACGGAAGGCATACTGCAGGACATGGGAGCAGCCCTGCCAATCTGCTTCGTTTACACACATGGCACAGTCACCTAATGTTTTTAGTGAACATAACGCAAGCAGCAGTATGTCACCTGGGACAGCATCTCATAGCTTAAAGTCCCCAGCTGTTACAAGATCCAGGAGCGTGTCTGACTCTTCAGTGCCTCAGAGAGGTTAGTAGACAGTGATTTCTTTGGTTTTTTTAAAGTATTTCCATCAGTTGTATGAAAAAAGTATGTTGTTACTGCTTTGTAGAAAGCAACCATAAAATAGTCTTCCCCACTGTGCCTGGGAGTGAGGAGTCAATGGCTTAGAGAAAGAAAAATGTCTGAAATGGATGAATCAAAATGTAGTTTGTTAGAGTACTTTCTATAAAACTGGAGTTTCTTTTACTAGAGCAGGAGTTGTTTAGCTGTGGTTAGATGAGTTCTCCAGCTTAATTTGATTGCATCATCATCATCTTGGCTCTCTATTCTCATCCAAGCAATGACAATGCTCTTAGCAGAGGGTCAGTATCACAGCTCACAGGTGAGGTCAGTTACTTCATTTCATCTGAGACTTTGCAGTCATATTGAGATGTCTAAATAAGGTTAGTTTCTATATAAGAAAGTAACTTTTACTTTCTTTTACTACAAATGTTATTGTATCGTATCTTATAGCAGTGTAGCACTGGCTGTGTGGAATATTTATGGCATTAGATATAGATAGTATATTTAGAAGTATGGCGCTTATTTTATTCTAGGGAAAATACCTGTGAGGAAAGAAAGGACATGTATTTTGTCTATTTAGTAAGCAAGCAAGATGTTGTATATGAACAGTTTTTAGGAGAAGACATGGCTGGAGAAGGATTTATGGCTGGTAGAGTGGCGTCTTCATAGGAAATGCAATTTTGCACAGGCTTGTAAGACTGTTGCCAGGATTTTTGTGAGAAGAGTAAGAAAACCCTAATCCTTGAAGTTCTGTCTTGGCAGTTGTGCAAATAACTGCTACCTGAATATTCAAATACTAATAATTCGTTTTCTGAGTACACTGGTATTTTTATATAGTTAAAGAATTTAAAATAGGTTCTTGCATGACTGACTGCAAATTAAAAATCTTTTCTCTTGAAGATATCAGTAAAAATGTGTGTAAAATAAATGTATAAAATTAGTCAATTTCTGTGACAACTAAAGCACCACTTACTGCAAATCCTCTAGTTCTCACTTATCCTCACTCATAGTTTTGTGGTGCTCCTTAAATACGGTGTTACTTTATCCTTTTGTAGTATGTACAATGTATATATTCTGTCAGTTTTTCCTAGCATGTGGAATAATTTAAATTTTTGTCTACTTTTTTGTTTAGATACTCTCTCAAAAACATCAACTCCGTTTAATAAGTCAAATAAAGCTGGAAGCCAGCAAGGAACACCATGGGAAACACTGGTTGTATTTGCTATGAACCTAAAACAATTAAACGTTCAAATGAATATGAGCAATGTGATGGGCAATACTACGTAAGTGTAACGATCAAGCATGTTTTAACAGACGGTGTTGTTTTGGGGACAAAACCCCAATTTCCCCACAGACTGTTAACAGCCTGTTGTCATCTTGCTTTAAAATCCTGACTTTTTCAGTTTTGATCTGTGAAGCCCCTCATAAACACTGCTAGATGGTTAATCCTGAAGTCACATATGCCAAAACCACATTATTTACTGCTTTCCAGGAAATAATTTTCAGTTTCTCTTTTGACAGCCTGGAAAACTGTTGTCTATTTTGTTGCCTCTGTTCTAGGTGGACTACCAGTGGTTTGAAAAGCCAGGGTCGTCTGTCTGTGGGTAGTAGCAGAGATCGGGAAATTAGCATGTCTGTTGGCTTGGGAAGATCACAGCTGGACTCCAGAGGGGGAGTTGTTGGTGGTACCATAGATGTTAATACCCTGGAGATGGTGGGTAAGTTGGAAAGCTGCCTGGTATTAGTATATGCTCCAGCCAATACATGTGAAAAGCTAAAGAACAGAACAGTACCTTGCTTTGTGAACCTGCTAGTATATAAAAACTTTGGATTCTTACTTGTGCATTCTGATGGTGAAACATGCTTTGAATTGAAGGGATAGCATCCTAATGAGGGGCTGATTGAGTCTCAGGGTTGCTCTAAAATTACACTAGCTAGTTGTGCAACCCTCCAGCCCCCTTCATCTGTGTGGACAGATGGCAATTGAAAGATCTGATAGCATTTCAGCTCCTCTTAAGAATTTCACAAGTGCTGACAGTCTGGGAAATGCAAAACTGCCTTTGGAAAGAGGCTGGGTGTTCTGGCACTACACCAGAGTCATGACCTCCCCGTGCATCTGGAAAAAAACAGTACTTTCTCAGTCCCTCTGTATCATGTAGATGGCATAAGGGTGATATCGTGGAAAAACTGATCTTCTTATCTTTAATCTATATTTCTGTATTGCTTTGGTTCTATTTCAGCTCATATTTCTGAGCACCCAAACCAACAGCCCAGTCATAAAATTCAAATTACCATGGGCTCTACTGAAGCACGTGTTGACTATATGGGGTCCAGTATCCTAATGGGAATCTTCAGTAACGCTGATCTTAAACTACAGGATGAATGGAAAATTAATCTGTATAATGCTTTGGACTCGAGCATCTCTGATAAAAGGTAATACTGCTTTCTGTGTTTAAAATGTATAACGTTTGATGAGGTCAAATTCTGCCTATGTCTTCTGTCCAGTATTGTTAACCAAAAATGTAAGCATCTCCTAGGAAGCAAAAGCTTCATTGTGGGTGTTTGGTTTTTTTTTTTTTTTTACATTGTCAATAGGAAATAGATTAACTGCTAATGTTCTTGCTCTTTTTAATATGTAGCGAAATATTTGTCCATGGAGACTTGAAATGGGATATCTTCCAAGTGATGATTTCAAGATCGACTACACCAGACCTAATAAAAATAGGAATGAAACTCCAGGAGTTCTTTACTCAGCAGTTCGATACAAGCAAGCGAGCATTGTCCACCTGGGGACCTGTCCCTTATCTGCCTCCCAAGACAATGGCCAACAACTTAGAGAGAAGCTCACATGAGCAATGTAAGTGGTACAAAAAATAGTATACTTCCCAAGTAGGACGTTTTAATTGCAAAAATTCATCCGAGCAACTTTATACATGCAGGTATTTCTATTTGACTTGAAACAGTTTCTTCAGTGCATTTTTCCTGTAAATTTGGGCTGGCAATAACCTTTCATTGAAGAATGCAAATATCTCAAGTACCCTGCTAGACCTGGGGTACAATAATGAACTAACTTATGTTGTTTTGGGGTTTTAGTTAAAAATATGTCTTTTTGCTTAAAAAGTAAATATTTTTTGCAGTTTTCAAACTATTTCAATAGTTGAAATAGTTTTCCAAGTCTATTTTGAAGTTGATTTCATAAAAAACCATTTATACTTTGAGTAGCAGTGGAAGTGTGATGTTATTCTTACTTTCTGTTAATCATGAGCTGAAACCATAATTTGTCTGAACACGAGTCATTGATTTCCAAGTACGTGTGTTCAGGTACTCTTAAGCTGCAACCAGCTTAGATCACAAAGATGAAAGAGTGCCAGTGAAATAAATTAGAAAATATTGCTTGTAATTCTGTGTTTTATTAAAAATATAAATGTGGCAGCAATCTTTTCTGTATCTTTCTCTTTTCTAAAGTTTGTTCTTGCTATCGCGTGCTTACTTTCTAGTGTTGGATGCAGCCCATCATCGCCATTGGCCAGGAGTTTTGAAAGTGGTATCTGGGTGCCATATATCCTTATTTCAGATGCCATTGCCAGAAGATGGAATGCAATTTGGAGGATCCATGAGCCTGCATGGAAACCATATGACACTGGCTTGTTTTCATGGACCTAATTTCCGCTCAAAATCGTGGGCCTTATTTCACCTTGAAGAACCCAATATTGCATTTTGGACAGAGGCCCAGAAAGTTTGGGAAGATGGTAATTTAAACAGTTTCCTCACTTCTCTAAATTCCTTTAAAGGAGTTTTAAGAATGTATTGATGCGTAAGAAGAAATCAAAGAAAAACTTGTTTTGTTTAAGACTGAATCAAATTTATTTCCCAAAAATATACCACTTACCTAAAATAATAATCTGTTCCCTCTCCATCTTGACCACAATTTGCTTTATCTGTGGAATATATCTGTGCAAAGTACGTTTTCAAATATACTAGATATGTCCCTGATAATATGCCTACAAAGTGGATTGCCTTGTTAATTGCACGTCTGTGTTTACGTAGTCCTTTGGTTCTGTAAGATTAATTTTGATGGTCTTATTGCTTATATTTGTCTTCATGTTGAGAAGTTTTTACTGTCTGTAGCTACTGAGGATTTAATTTTTCTGCTGTTTGCAGTTTGCTTTATACAGGTTTTTAATGCTGCTGGCATATTAATAATTCGTGTTAAATACTTGTGCGAGGAGAGGAGGAATCCTACTCCCCTTACCAAGCTGCTTTTTCCATTTTTTTCTCTCTCACCCCATGCCACCCACACCTTCAATGCAGGTACTAGTGAACATTCCACCTATATCGTGCAAACCCTGGACTTCCATTTGGGCCATAACACCATGGTCACCAAACCGTGTGGAGCCCTCGAAAGCCCTATGGCGACAATCACAAAGATAACACGCCGCCGCCATGAAAACCCCCCACATGGAGTTGCCAGTGTGAAAGAGTGGTTCAATTATGTTACAGCCACAAGGAATGAAGGTTAGATTTGTGTTCATGAAGTATTGGGACTGGTCTGCTTGCCAGGCAGTGCAGGCTGTGCAGTTTAAAAGCTGCTAAATTTCAAGTGGGCTACAGGGAGAAGGGAACTGGAAGTAATGGAAGTTGTTCCTTCTTGAGAACCTTATGGTGAACTATGGAATGAAGCAGAGCAATACGCTGAAGAGCTGGAAGTGTTACTGAGCTAAGTCCTTTTTCAAACTGTGCAGTAAAGCCAAAATGTTCTGTTAGCGTACAGGGGACGTTTATGTATCTGGCATTGCAGTAGTTCTAGTCTTTTCCTCTTTCACTATACGCATAAAATTGTCTTGTTTCATGTCCAGTTGTGATCTTGGAACATGAGGATATATTTCACTGTATATGAAGGATTTATGGATTAAGTTGAAGTAGGAATACATTTTAGGCTTCTGCACCACTTGAAAATTACTCATCTGCCTAAAGCTTTCCAACCTTCAGCTGCTTCTAGGCCTTAAAACATTTTGAATCATATCTTTAAATCATTGTTAATTGGAAAATAAAACTTTCAAGACTAATGTTAAAGGAAATCTTAAAATACAGCTGTTGCTATTTCATTCACAAACCGTAGAATCAGTAGATGCTATCAATTTTGTGAAAGGGCGAATCGCAGAATATGGCATATAGTGAGAAATGAGCAGATGATCGTTTCTTCAAAGAAATACTTTAAAACTGTTGATATACTATACTAATAGACACAACAGGATGTAGTAGTTAAAGTTCACAAATAGAGGTGCTGTCTGTTAGATGTTTTTATGTAGCTCTGTTTTGCTACATCCAGAGCATTTAAGTATATAAACAACAACAACATTTGATTGTTTGACCTTTTGTAGCCATGCTTTTGGGAGCAGAATAAAGGATATAATCTTAATAATCATACAGCAGCAGTTTTACAATGAAATAGTAACCGTTCTTTTTTGTCTTGTCACAATTTTAACAACTAAAAACTAATTCAGATGATGTTGCATGTGTACTATGGTAAAAGTCTTGTGACAAAGTTGGATTTGTGGTCAACAGTGATTTCTGACAGCAATGCTGCCTCCGTGAATTTAGGTATTACTTGTATCAATTGGAAACATTTATTTTCATTTTAAGTACTACCATCTTTTCAAACACAAAGGGCACATTTTGAAGCCGTACAGTCTATATCTCACTTAACTGGAAGCTCCTTACTAGAACAGAGTTGTGATGAATAAAATTTGGACTTTTAAGCTTTCAAAAAACTAACAAAGATTCTTAGAAGTGGTTAGATGTTACGGTACTGACACTTATTTCCTCCCCCCTTCTTATTATGAGAAGTATTTTGTGAAAATTTTTCACCCTCTGTGCTGATGAGAACCTTTTTTTAATAAAACCTACTGAATTCAGGAATTTCCCATTGTCCATGTAGAGTTAAACCTGCTTCGAAACGTTGATGCTAACAACCCAGAGAGCAGCACAACAGTGAAAAGCTCAAGCTTGCTAAGTGGCTTCAGGGGTGGCTCCAGTTACAACCATGAAACTGAAACCATCTTTGCATTGCCAAGGATGCAGCTGGATTTTAAATCTATTCATGTTCAAGAGCCCCAAGAGCCTTCATTACAAGGTGCAGTAAACATAATTTGTTTTTTCTTCATCTGAAGCTATTTCTCATAAATGGGGAGTTAAATACAAAGCTGCCATGCTGATAACAGAAGAGGATTTAATCAGAGAATTACTGCAGATCTGCAAGAAAAGATACCATTTTGTAATAAAACGTAGAGGGAATTCTGTTGAGAGAACAAAGATCTAGTCCAGAGACTGGTCACTATAGAAAAGACTTACTAAGAGAAATTAATATGAACATTTCAGCTAGGTTGGCTGTTTTTAGGGGGTTGGTTTTCTTATTTTTATTAAAATGTTAAAGAGGAGGGCCATTCTCAAAAAGGGATTATGAGATAGGAGCCTAAATTTTATGCTCGTTTTCAAAATGTTATCTTCAGACTGCAGTTGGAACTGGTGGGAAATAAGACTTTTGAAGACATAAGATATTAATATAGATGTTTATCCTGGCTGAGCTGTGGTTTTACTCCATACCTGATCCTGGATAATACTGCTAGATCAGTCAACCTGTTGGCTTTTGGTTGGGTTTTTTTTTTTTTAATAGCCGAACAGCCAAACTAGCAAAACCTGCTATCAGCTTTTCTTATTGTCTAAAAGCATGCATTGATAGCATAGCAAAAGCTAGTGATACTGCTTGAGGTTGACTTTCCACGTTGAGGATGGTCAAGGTTGCTACATGGTAGTATTTCTTTATTTTCAGCATCTTTTATAAAATACCAGAAGTTACTCTGATGGGAAAACTGTTTAAAAAAAATGCTGAGGCTGCTAAACACAGATGTTAATTGTGGTTCTTCCTCTCTTTTGAGTCTGTGGTTTGGTAGCAGCAATGTCATTTTCAAATTATTTGTATCAAAATTCTATGCACTTTTATGTATACTGTATGTACTTATAAGTGTATTAATACTATTTTTCTCTCACTTGTAGATACAAGTGTTAAACCAAAGGTGGAATGCAGTGTAGTAACTGAATTTACAGACCACATTTGTGTAACTATGGATGCTGAATTGATTATGTTTCTGCATGACTTGGTATCTGCTTATCTAAAAGAAAAAGAAAAAGGTAAGTGTTTATTTACGAGGTAATGCTCGTCTGACAATCTGCAGTTGTCAGACCATTTGATAATAAATTTTTCATACTTTTTAATTGAGCTGGCTTGTTTAAAATGGATTTAATTTAAAAAAAGTTAAGCCTAACTTTGCTTCCATTGAAATCAACAGAAGTACTATTAAATGTTCTTGAAATCTGGACTTAATGCTATGAAATAGTTACCTCTTTCAATAGCTGATAAGTGCAATTTAACTACGCAATAACAAAAAGTTTTTTCTGGGTTATTTTAGACTGAGAGCCAAGAGGTATTTTGGCACTTCTCAAAAAGAGCAACATTGTTCAGGAAATACTTGAGCTGATTTTTAAGTGAGCTCCTGTAGCACTGGAAGCAGAGTAGTTGCGTACAAACTTACAAACCTCCTAGTGTCACTATGCTGACATGCCACCACTGTGCAGGGAGCTGTAGTAGTATCTCTGCATGGCACTTTGCTACACTGTGTAGGTACAGCAGCTTGTTCAAAAACAATTCGGTCACCTCCAGTGCAGCAACTACATGCAGTATGCTGCAGAAAACAGACAAACTCCTGGATTTCTGTTGCTTACCCACTACTGATAAGCTTGTGCTAGTTACTCTAAGTCATAATCTTGCTCCTATTTTGACACCTGGTGTGTAGTTTAACTTTATTTTTGTAAGATAGTATACGCAGATTACTGTTTTAGGAAGCTACATTATTTTATTGCAGTCCTTTCATCAGTGGAGTTTCTTTCAAGACATGCATTTTTCTGGCTTCAGAATGCTTTACTTTTCCATGTGAATATGTTCAGTTGAAGCATTCCAATTTGGCACGTGCATGCTTAAGCAATATGTGGTCTTTGCTAAGAAAAGCAAATTGAAGACAAGTGAGTTCGATGTATATGTAAATTGTGCCAAACACAGTGACTTTTGTTGTTGTAGACTTAAGGTGAATAAACAGTGCGGTACGGAATGACTGACCGTGCTCTGTGATTGCCTGCATGTTGAAGGGAAGGTCATCATCTAGTGGCTTTAATGCTTTACAAGTAATTATTGCCACGAGTATCTAAAGCCTACTAAATTAATGAAGACGTGGAAAAGATAGTAACAGCACTGTAGGTGCTGATCATAGATAAAATTATTTCAGATGTTAACATTTACTGTAAGTAGACTAGACTAGACTGTTTCAGTTGGAAGGGTCCTACAGTGATCACCCCGTCCAACTGCCTGACCACTCCGGCGCTGACCCAGAGTTCAAGCACGTTGGTAAGGGCATTGTCCACATGCCTCTGCAACACTGATGGGCTTGGGGCACCGACCACCTCTCTAGGAAGCCTGTTCCAGGGTTTGGCCACCCTCTTGGTAAAGAAATGATTCCTAATGTCCAGTCTAAACCTCCCCTGGCGCAGCCTTGAACCATTCCCATGTGTCCCGTCACTGGATCCCAGGGAGAAGAGATCGGCTCCTCCCTCTCTACTTCCCTTCCTCAGGAAGCTGTGGAGAGCAAGTATTATATAATTATATTTTATGTCCGATGAGGTGTCATCACTGAAATTAGAAGCTGCTTATTTGAAGTTTTACAACTTCTGATCCTAAATTAAGATTTTTTTTTCCAAATTTTGCCACAGCTGTCCTACTCTAGACTCTCATTTCTGTACTTTTTTCCTTTAAAGGCTGCCACAAGAGTAATGTGACATGGTAATGTACGTGTAAACGATGAGTTACCACCACAGTGAAAGTCACATGTTTTGTTTTTCTGCTGTGTGTGAAATTCGGTGTTGTGCATAGCAGTTTGCATTTATTACTGAACTGTATAGAAAATGTAACATTTATTCATGTGATGTAACATGATGTGCTGTATAAATGTAACATATGATGTAGGACACATTAAATCCAGTATTTTGAAAGTTTATTTTTATAACTAACCATATAAAAATCTGTTTACGTGTGATGGTGTACAACAGAGCTAAAAGTGCTTCCTAAAAGCACTTTATAGTAAAATGTCCAACAGGTGCAGAAACTAACAAAAGGGGAAGACAACTATTTGATAACTTTGTCAAAAAATTTGTTTTGAAGCTATCTTAAAATAAACCTAAATTCAATCCAAATTCACAGATTTGTTTTTATTTTATAAAATATGTTGTTTGGAGGAGGAGCTGCTGTTCCTTTTCTGTATCCCAGGACTTAAGTGAGAGCTGGGTTCAGGTCCCCTTGATGCCTTTGGACAAAGATTTAACTTAACTATTCCCTCGCCATCCTCCTCCTCAGAGACTACTCTGTCAATCTAAAAAAATACTCTAAACTAGGCATGTGTCTGAATTTTGCTTATGGAATGTAATATGCTTTGCTGAATGCCATGATTAATTTGAAAGGAAGACCCCTGTATATGGATGCTTTGGGCTGGCAGAGAGAAGGAAGAATCCCACGTTCCAGTGTTACCCAGTGTCTATTACAGTTTTCATAGGATAGTTTTTACTAGCCCTTTGTTCAAGCCAAAACTGTTTGCCAGAAATTCTGTAAAACTGGAACATAAGGTGGTTCTCTTTTAATTATTATTTTGAGATTTTTGCTTTTGTTTTATTTAAATGGTGTACAAAGAGAATTCAGGTGAGGTGGTCATGACTGACTCGTGTGGGGTTTTTCCTCTCTCCATTTTTGTAGCAATTTTTCCTCCTCGCATTTTGGCTGCTCGTCCAGGGCAGAAAAACTCTGTTGGTGTTCTTGAGGACAGCTCCACTGACAAAGAGGCAGAGGAGAGCATTACTTACACTACAGTCGACTGGAGAGAATTTATGTGCAATACTTGGCATTTGGAACCCACGCTCAGGTAACAAGCAGGCTTCTCTGCAATCTCTTTGTGCATTTTATCTGTGGGTACTGCCCTGCGAACGGCAAGAGTTTCCAAGTTGATGCTGCTCAGCTCCAAAGAGGATCAATCATGTGGATGCTGTTACAGATTTGTCTGTGGCTATTAGTGCTGCTGTGAAAGATACCTGCTACGGGGCATGGCAAAAGCTGGGTAACGCAGTTATCTATTACATCAGTTAACTTCTAGATTAGAACTTACGCAGGTTAAAGACATTGTTGGAGGCTCTTCAAAATTAGGATACAGTAAAATTAAACTCATTAAGGACCACAGATTACCGTGTTTCACTCTGTCCTGCAGCAGTCTGTTCACTTTCTGCCGTACAGCTTTTCATCTTGCAGTTTTCCATTTTCAGCATTCCAGTTTTAGTTTTTCTTTAAGCAGTCACCTTAAAATAAAAAAGCACTCTATACTAGTTGCTATATGGCAATTTAAACTTAGCACAAAAGAATAGTGTGTACAGCAGCAACTCACTGCTCTCAATATATACTTTTAATCACTGAAAATGACTTTTCTCTGTGTCAGGGTTTGTTTTTTAACCTCTGCTGACATTGCTGGAGCACCTAAGTGTTCGTTCACATATCAAAACAACACATCAGCCCAGGCCAAACAAATCTTGGCAGTTGGCATTTTGTGTTAGCAGTAATAATAAATCAATTTAAACATGATCTGGAGGCAGCCCAGTCTGGTTTTTTTGCCTCCTTGAGCATCCTCCTCTTTTGAGAGGATGTTTCATTGGTCATCTTCAGCTTACCTGTATAAATTAAGCTTGAAACGATGTCTGTTGGACCTAAATTGGTCAGAAGTAACAGTGGTAAAAATGGACGTTTGTTTATACAAATGTCAGTTGCTATATTTATGTATTTGAGACTGAGTCCCCTATTTATTGTTTTTTAGATTAATATCCTGGACTGGGAGAAAAATTGATCCCGTTGGTGTTGACTACATCCTCCAAAAGCTGGGCTTTCACCATGCAAGGACTACTATTCCTAAGTGGCTGCAGCGCGGTGTCATGGATCCTTTGGACAAAGTTTTGTCGGTCCTTATAAAGAAACTTGGTACTGCACTACAGGATGAAAAGGAAAAGAAAGGAAAAGACAAAGAAGAATACTAAAAATATAATGTGACAACTGTAATTCTGTTTGCTTTTATCAAAGTGTTTTATTATATTTTAAGAATTTAAATATGGTTTAAAGAGAAACCTAACAGCTTTTTGCTACTCTATTTAAAACTTACATTGTGAGTAACTGTTTACTGTGGTACATGATACCATTCTGTATTTGAAGTTATTGCATGATGATGACCAATGTATATTCTGTGAAGGAATAGCTGGAACACTGTAAGTCTGTTCCTCAGCGTCCAGTTTTATTACGTGCAATATGATTCCTGCATCTTTAAAATACTTGCAGATTAACTGTGAATTTTCATAAACTTTATTTGCCATAACACAAACCCCTTGATGTGACAGGTAATTGATTTGTCAATGTAGACTTGTGTAAATTTTTTATATATATATA